AAATAAGTCCTACTTTTACTGTATCCCAAAGGCTTTGGCACTTGTTTTTGTTTTCACTTGCTTCAAGGAATTAAATTTTTCCCCACCATTTTATTTCATTCCTTTTTCCATCAATTACCCAATAGTTTTCACCAGTATATTATTTAATTTTTATGTATTTCCTATTTTCTTCTTGTTATTCCTATTGTTGCTTCATATTTTCATAGCATAGTGACTTGGGAAAATGGATTGTAAATGCCAGTATTTTAAATTTTATTAAGGCTTACGTTGTGTCTTAACATATGATCTCTTCTAGAGAATATTCCAAGTGCACTGGTAAAGAAGGTATACTTGTTGGTTGGAGTTCTCTATGTCCATGTATTAGATCAAGTTGGTTAATTGTATTATTTATTTCTTCTATGTCTTGGTTGAGTTTTCTCTTCATGATCTTTCCTTGAGAAGATACATTAAAATCCTCTACTAATATTGTGTTGTCTATTTCTATCTTCAGTTGTATACGTTTTTGTTGTTATTTTCTTTTTAAAAAAAGTTTTATGGCCATATAATTCACATATATAATAAATAGTTCAGTCATGTTAAAAAGAGTTGTACAATCATAACTACAGTGAATTTTAGAATATTTTCTTCTTTCTTGTACCCAATTTTATGAGTCCCCATTTTCTCTGAAAGTCTGCTGTCCTATCCCAAAAAACCATTAATCTAGTTACTGTCTATAGATTTACCTCTCATGGATTTCATGTACAGAGAAATATTTAAAAAGAAAAAGGAAAGGAAAGAAAAAACTAACAACAATAACACAGTAAGATAGAGAGTCCCTCAATTGAAAAGAAAGCAGAAATATTAAAAAGTAGATTACCTTTAAAATGGGTCAAAAGGGAGATCAAATGATAAGGTATTACATTTCAACCTAATCGTATGTTCATTAATGCTATTTCTATCCTTGATCAATGGTCAAAGGGAATCCACTGGAACCATAATCCATGTGTATTTTTACTTCACCTTTAAAAACTTTTTTAACTGAAACAACTTTAAAATGTGTCAAAACAAAGCACTAATATTATGATCTTATATTTAAACCTAACTATAAATGCCATCCAGTACTTGTCTGCCACTTTGTCATACTGTGGTGGCTGCTTTGTTGCTGTGATGCTGGAAGCTGTGTCGGTGGTATTTCAGATGCCAGCAGAGTCACCCAAAGTGAACAGCTTTTCATGGAGCTTCTAGATGCAGCACAATGACAAAAGACTCAGCTCCCCTCTTCAGAGGAAGGCAGGGCCTTATGCACAGCTCCAAAACACTGTCAGATGCTTCCGCCTAATGAATGGAAGCAGAACATTGTCAGAGACAGTGCTGGAGGATGGGTCCCTCTGGTCAGAGGGCACTCGCAGGGTCACTGACGAGGAGCTGATTTATCGGAGTGGAGAGGGG